AAAAGTAGTTTTTCCTGAGTGTGCTGTCTGTTGGGCCACATTACGGTGCACTTCCACCATGAGGAACTTTCCCGTATCTAGTTTCTGTTTCTTGATATAAACAGGGCGGTAGCCATGTTGCAAGCAAATCACGAATTTGCCGCCACCATTTCATGCCAAAACGCACGTAGCTAACTGCTCCCTCTTCCGGGGTTTTGTGACTCGGCACTTTTTTCCCGCTCTACCGTTACCCGTCCCTCTACGATGTGGCCGCCCCTGATTGGGTAATAGTTTCCCCACCCCACACTCCCTATATAAGCCTCTGTTCCCTTGTAATACACAGAGTTCCGGCTTTGACCGCTCTCCTGGCTCGGTGTTCTTTCTTTGTCCCCGGGGCCGAAGCGCAGAGGGGATCGGGCCTGCGACACTCATCATCCCGCTCAGCCCCATAAGAGGTTGCCGCCGGCTGGTCCGGGGTCTCTTCCAGCCCGGCTTTGTCGGTCTCCGGCAGTGGGAGAACCGACACTCATCATAGAAAAGTTTGGAGACCATTGCCTTGGGTATATGCTTTCTAAGGAGATACCGGTTTCTTTAGAATGTTCACACAATGCTCCAGAAGTAATTAGCATAATTGTGCAAGTCACATGCATCATCAAACATGCAGTCTGCCTGGTTACTATAAATCCACATGAAATCCACCGCACTGTCAGTGGTGAGCCCAGTGGATAGGCATTTTCGGGGGCTTCCTGGCACATTGAGCCAGGGCTGGCCAGTCTGAAAAAGGGTTGCTGTCAAAATTGCATTTCTGAAACCAAACTCAAATTGCTTTCTTTTAAAGGGTCAGAACTGATTCAAACCCACATCTTTAAGAGCACTTAGATCTGGGGATTTTCCCATTTCCTGTCTTCCCTGCTTATTTTCGTGAATCCATAGCCATTTTGACCAAATCCTTGACTTAATCCTACATTAAAAATAAAGGAGGCTCATGCAGAGGAAATATAACAAAGGAGGGACTTTCCTACAAGATCTTTGAAAAGGGAATATTTGCATAAGCCATATTTAACCAGAGTCTTTGTTTTATGTTTTTCCTTTCTGAGTGCTTTGTTACACCCCTCCCTGTCCCCCCACCTAGTCTGCCCTCACACCCCGACCCCAACTCGTCAGAGACTAAAGCCTTAACAGCGTTTCACATTGGAACCTTCCTGGCCCCACCCACACCATCATGCCTGAATGATCACATTTACCAACCGGTCTCCCCTGCTTCCTCTTCTCTCCACTCCTAAACCCTCAGACATGTTTGTCTTCCCAGAACATCATTGAGATCCTGTCCCTCTCTTGCTCAAGCTTTCCCAGAAACTGTAGTACTAACTTTACAAGCTTTATTCTACAGTTTAAAGCCACTCTATGTCTTTTTCATCCCTGGTTCTCTGCTAAACCAATATAACCTGTCTGATACCTTTGTCTTAGATACTCAACTCTCCCTCTGGTTTCTAATTAAACCTCATCTAGGATCTAATTTTGTCTCTGAATTTTGCTGTTCTTCCCTTCACTGAGCCGCGGCATCTCTGAGCTTGCACACTTGACTCATCCATGGTGCACGCAGCCTCGACTTGCAGTTAGTGTGTTTACCTTCCTTCCCCTCCAGATGCTGGGTCCCTGAGGGTGGGAACTCTGCCCCAGTAACATTTCTTGCAATAGCAAATTTTTAGCAAATGTTTAATTGGTTAACTAAGAAACACCATCCCACGCTTTAGGTCTCTCTTTTAGCTAAACATGCCTATGTCATTCATCACTCAACCATTCTGATCATCTATTATCCTCCTAATACAGGGGTTGGTTCTGAGCACAATGAAACCAAAAGATACAGCCTGTTCTCTCAACATCACTTTTGGGGCTGATTTTGTGAACTTCAGACTGTCCTCTTCAGCACAAATGTTTAAAATTGAATCTATTCTGAGTAATTTTGTATTCCCTTTTCTCTTCAGCATTAGACACAGCTCTTTCTACACTACCTTTCCTTACCTATTAAACAGACACTCACTAGCTCTACAGACACTGCCTAACTATATGGACTTAGACACATTATTTAATATCTCTGAGCCTCAGTTTCCTAAAATTTTAAATGAGGATAGTATCATCTATGGCCAAGGATTAAATGCTTCGAGGAATGTAACCCTGACATCAGATAGAATCTCTCTGCCCCCTAAAATCCAGATAAAATAGATTAAAAGTACTAATAATTGTGGAAGTCTGAAACTCTCTAAGAGTTCTCAAAAATCCCAGAGAGCTTAATTTTCATGCTCACCCTGGAGCTGACTTTTTTCTAAATATTTCATTTCTGCCAAAGTATTTTGTTCCTACTTTGTCTTTTGTGGCTATTTCTTTACATCTACTTTTCCAAACTTAGGAAGAGCAGCCCCTTCACTTCAAACTCCTCCTTCAAAGCAACCTGAATATGGATCTGTGCTTGTAGGAGAATGTTTACAGAAGCTCTATGCAATGTCAAGGGAATCGCACCATTTAATATACATTTAATATTTTGTCTTCAGAGGCCAGGCTGCTCCCATGGAGCTTCTCACAACGTTCCTAGTTCTTCTCTCTGTCTCCATTGCCTTCTTTTTCTTCCTTCTCACATCCTCACAGGAGCAAAGAAAACTAATTTCCCTGAGTTTTCTTGCACAGAGCTCCTTAATTACATGTTAATTACATGCCAACATTAAGTCTGTAGGGTCTCACCTTCTATCTTAGAGGCTTATCAAGAAAAGGTAGTTCTTTCCCAAAAAGGGATTTGGATGCCAACTAAAACTAAGATTACTGTATGCCAACTAAGATAATTTTAAGATAATGAACTTAAAAAAAAATCCCAGTGTTATCATCATCATGGCTACTATTATTTAAACCATTAGTACTAGAAATAGTACTATAAGATCTGTTACTGAGACCGAGCAGCATACCAAGATTCTGGGTAAAGCTTAGTCCCAACTAAAACCTTTTCAGCCGGGTCTGCAACCAGGCAAGCAATGGAGCACTCCCAGGAGCCTGAGGCAGGGGCCATGGGCAACCACACCTGCCCACAAGAACATCTTAGAATAATGCATTTATTAGCCATGTGTGTTTCGTTGGGGTGTGTGACTTGTCTGCTCCTGTGCTTCACCAAATTTCTGTTGAGATTTTTCTAATTCATTTTTAAGAGCTCTTTATGCATTAAGGATGTTAATCTTTGTGTGTTAGATTTGTTCCTTATCAATTGACTTTAAATTCAATTTGTGATGTTTTCCTTTGCTTGTATGTTGAGAAAATAATTATCTAAACATTAAAAAAAAAAAGAATGGTGGAAAAAATAATAAAACCCTTTCAGAGTCACACAGGGAAGCTGTATGTATCTTATAAAATGTCAAGGGCCCCCTAGCTCAATTGAGACTGCCAAAGCCAAGGGAAGTAAAGTTCTCATTATTTCTCCTACTAATTTCCCTGTCCCTTGTCACGAATTGTGAATTGTTTTAGTGATGGCAGCTTTTCTTTCCCAAATGGGACATGTAAACAGAAGGGAAGAACTACATTGCTGAAGTCAAGAGAGCGAGTGCAATTTTAGAATAATTTTGGAGAAAAGGGGAAGGGTAGAGATAAGTCAGCTGACAGAGAACAAGAACTTTGGGGGAAGGACATAGATATATAAAGGATAACTTTATTAACTTTCCACAGTGTGATGTGGATATAAAGCCTCTTTTCTGCCTCATCTATTTATCATCAAATCATTATAGATCTAGGTCTGTTTCAAGTGTGTGTCAAACAACAGAGCACAATCTCAGGGAAGCCAAGGGTTGAAAGTGTGTGACACTCAGGTGACAGATTTTTCTTATCAGAGCTAAGGCAATACAATTAGATATTAATTTGGTGAACTATTTCTTCAGGAAATTGCAATAATACAGTCTAGGCAAATGGATCTCTAGTGAACAAATCCAGGGGAATGGATAATTCTGTGTTCCTTGGACTCTGTTGATTTCATGAAAGTTGGTATTCCGGGCAATGAGAGAAAAGAGTTATTTCATTCAATCTAGAGCACAATTGTGTGAGGAAGATAATGGTATCCCCATTGCATAAATACACCTGACGTTCAGAGAGGGTGCCTATTTGCCTGGGTCACACCCTGTAGATAGAGACAGGGCTCCAACTGGTGCCTCTGACTTCCCAACCCGTACCCTCCACCTCACCCCAACAGGGACACAGGTAGCCGAGTGGACCTTCTGCAGTGAACATCTGAGAGCTGGGTTCTTATTTGGAAACAAGTGGGGGACCCACTTGTCTAATCTCAGGAGAAGGCCTCGGAGCTGCTTCTGCTCTAGCCTTTGGGTAGAATCCAGAATCCTACACCACGAAAGCACAAAAGGCAAGATTTGGATGGTGAAAAAAAAATCTACACTTAAAGTTCAGTTCACAAAGCAATTTATACTTGATGTAACATCACAATAACCCTCTGAGGTAAGCATGACAGACTTAATTCTTATTTTTTAGTCTCAGGGAGTTAGTTAAGCCCAAGGTCTTTGGAGAAATTTATCTTATCAATCTTTATTTAGTTGATGTAGCATGATATAATTCTTGACATCAAATAGAACCCTTAAGACTTGAATATAGGACTGCATATCTAAATCTATACACATCTTACTCCCAAGAAGTTGTCTTCATTTGATTTCCTCAGCCCTGATGTTTTAGTTGAATAAGCACTTGCAGTCAGGACTGCCCTGTAAGTCTGTGCAGACTATGCACTATACAACTCTAGGGCATGCACCCTAAGCCACATGAATGTGAATGACACATCCTAGATTCATAGTGCACAACATGAAGACTCTTTTGCAACAGCCCTTGCTGTAATGCAGAATCTGAGATAGCTTTGAGAAAGAAAACAATTCTTACCAAAAAATCATTCTCATAACAAGCAAATTTGTATGAATGGTGTATTGGCCATGGGATAAAGAGCCTTTTCCAATTAGTTTTTGACAGATCCCTATTCTTTCATAAGCATTCAGCCCTTGACATTAAGTAAGTACCTGTCTAGCTCATCACATGCCATGGAGAGAGAGGGTTTGCTGAAACTTATGTGAACAGTACATTGTATGCTCTTTCTGATTTATTTGAACATGCATTTATTGAATGTCAAATAATGAACTAGACACTCGAGGGTTCTAGCATAATCTCTTCTCTATGGTTATTAAACCATACAATCTCATTGAGGAGAAAACATAACATATGACAATTTTTAAAATGACAAACTAGGTAACATTTAAAAAACAGGCTGTATTTAAGTACAAAATTGCATGTTACAGACTAATCTTGCAGTTGGAAGTCAGGAAGGGGGTTGCCATGTCTTGAACTGGTTAAGGACTAGTTACGGAAGAAGTAGAAAGGGTGGGGGATGCCTGAGATGACTCTGAAAAAAAGAAATAAAATCTAGGTAGGTGGATAAGAGATTTGGGACTAAGGGAAGGGGAGAATTTCGGTATGACTCAAGGAATCTCTCTAAGTGTGATAACTGTTCTGCATAACATCAAAGAGTTGTTACCTACAGCTAACATTTCAGTGATGATGTTTCTTTATTAACAATATAGTAGTCATAAAAGAAGCATTGACTACAAAATATCCAAATGGGTCTAATAAAAAGAGACAGCAAAACCCAAAGCTAAAAACAGCACAAGCTATTTTCCTCTTTTTTTCTTTTCTTTGGTGCACATAAGATGCCACAAATGAAAATCAGCCAACTGAGAAGGGGAGATGGCTAAAGAATAGTGGGGAGACTGCAGGTGGTTCAATAGAACGGCCTCCATTTGCAGTAAGCGGGGCTACAGTGCAAACAGGACTTTTCCAACTTGAGCAGAACCCCATTTCTTCACTGGAACTGGAAAGCAAGGATAACATCAATTCTATGAACATTCTATAAGAGTGTGTCCCCACAGTACACAGAATACAGAGGAGGCAAATTTTGATCTGTGAGAAAACTGAATCTTAGTTACGCATGTATGGATTTTTTATGGTATTGAGAAGGGTATGTCATTAGGTACCACACTGAATTGAAACTGGAAACAAGAGTCCAAAAAGAGCCATCAGACCTCTTTACAATTCACAGTAATCCTTTTCCCCTATAGTCTTATTCATTTCTTCACAGAAAAGATAATGAAAGATTGAGCTATATAAACAACAACTGTGGGCTGGGGGCAGGGGGGTGGATGAGGAGCAAAACAGGAGCAGAAGGAGCTGTTAGTCATATAGGAATCTTTCCAGATGCACTGAAAGAAACAGTCTTTCCCTTGGATGCCGACGATGTCACAATGCAAAACTTTTTTATGGAAGAATTGGAAGGATCCAATGGCTCTTTAGTATCACAAGAACCTCCTTTCACAGAGAGTGGTTTAATACGGGTCATCCATGCTGAAAGAAAAACAAAAGATTATAAATTAAACTGAGGAGCCTAAAAATTGCAAAAATTAAAGTGTTATTAGTAAAGATAAATATTCACTAAAGGTGAGAAGAGGAGCATGAAAATGCTTTCAGCTGGAAATCTTGGACAAGATGCGGGACATTTGAAGGTGGATGGGAAGAGAACCTAGAGCAGCTCACCATGCAGAGGTGGTGTTAAAATACAGACTCAGATTCAGCAGGTCTGGGTGGGACCTGAGATTCTGCATCTTTAACAAAGCTCCCTGGTGATGTTTATGCTGACAGTTTGCAGACCACACTTGGAGAAATTTCTGCAGTATGGCCTTTGTCTCCAGATGTAATGAGCTTGAAGGATATTTTAGATTGATTTTGAACAGTGGAAAGTCAAGAAAGTTGAAGAAGACATGCTCAAATGGAAGGTGAAATCAGCGAAAATTAAAACTCATCAAAGAAATGGTTGTGGTTCTAAACACCTGATTCTGATGGGATATGATTTAAGAAGATGATAACGAATTCAGTTTCATGAAATAAATGACACTTTTTTGTGAGTGACACAACTGTCTCATTCTGGGAAAGGACAGGAGAGAACCAAATGTAGTATGTCTTAATAGCACCTTTCACAGAAAGAACCATATTCTGAGACTCTGGTCTCATGATGAACTGTCAGGATAAACCACAGTTCAGCAGCTGCAAACATGCTTGCCAATATAGAGATAAAAATGTTTCTGAAAACAAAATTTCATGTATACCCTCCTCTGAGGTTGGCATCGTTATCTTCCTGTGTATCTTGGGTGTAGCTTTAACTCAGCCAAAATTTAGACATTAGAAACCAAATGAGGTGATAAACAGAACCAGTTTGCAGAAGAGTCAAAATAACCCAGCAAGAATGGAAACCACAAATGCCCAAGGAGTCATTCACTCACCATCTAAAAGTTAATACACATGAGCACAAAGCACTATGAGAGTTAGATCAAGTTAAAAAAAATTGACGCATAGTGTTCAGTGTGATAATGTTCATTTTACCTTTGCCTTGTTCTGGAAACACACCCTACTTCTTCCACCCCACCCTTCCTCAGTGCTATCACACAGTGGTTTCAGTGTGAAAAAAATTAATCACCTTACTGTAAGAGGAGAGTTACAACTCTAACCTGGAGTCGAGAGTCCTAAGTTCAAGAAGCATAAGGGTTAAGAGCATGATCCCTGGATCCAAATGGACACAAATCTCAGCTTTGCCATTTACAAAATGACTACAGGCTGGCTATTTTATTTCTCTTTGCCTCTGTTTCTTCACCTGTAAAGAGGATATTAACAGTACCTACTCCCACAAACTTGTAGGCAATATTTCATGATTCAAGACACGTAAAACACTCAGAACAGTATTCAACATGGAATTAATATTTGCTAAAGGCTTATTATTACTGTAACTAACTCTATCACTAGCTCTAGGCCTATAGAAAAGTTATTTAATTAGCTCAAGCATGAAAGAATTTGAACATCATGTCCACCAAGACCTTTTCTAGACCTAAAATAATATGATTCTATGAATTAAGATAACCTTGCTCAATAAGTGAGAGGTGTCTCAAGACAGCTGGGCAAATAATTCTTCTTTGCTTGGTCCTTCTAGGCCTGCTGGGAAGGCATTCAAGACCTGTGTTGGTGGGGCCAGCCTCTCAATAAACCGTGGGCTCCAGGCGGTTCCACTCACTGGCCCCTGAGCATGCTTTCCTAGTCCACTACCACACCTCTATTTACATCACATTGCTCTCTAGACTGCCTTCCTTCCCTGCTTCTCTCCATACACCTGTCCACCCTTCAAAAAGCAACCCAGGTTCCACTTTCTTTAGAAGATTTTCTGTGATCACCAAGCCAAGTAATCTTTCTCATCTCCGATACAGAATTCATCAGTTGTTACATTACTCTGCCATGTATTTTTCTTATCTTTTTCTGTATTTCTTTCTTCAGTCTCCAACTAGATAATAATCTCCCTGAGGTCCGGGACAAGGTTAGATCCCATCTGGTCATATGTTGTTGTTTTCTAGTATAAATAATTGCATTGGATATGACCCTCTCTATGTCGTGCATTCACACACGCATGTATGTCCTTTTCAACCCCACACTATTGATTGGGGCCATTTAGTGGACTGAGGGGTCAATACCTTGAGTTTTACTCTTATTAGAGGCTCAGTTGTCTTTATTTTTTCCTAGAAGTTGGGAAAGAAAGGTTTCTGATATAATTGCTTTGTCAGCCACAATTATATTGGGTAAAAAAGGATGATAAAAATTCAGCAGCTCTGCCTTTCCTGATACTTGATTCAAGTTTTCATGTGTGTTTTAAGTGCCATTGTATATATTGCCAGCTGGCTACTGGGTTTAAATTTCCCTTAAGCCAAAAGGAAAATGGAAGAGAATAAAAAATTTTTTACTTTCAAAACTTGATCTAAGATAACTCTCCAAATAGATAATAATCTCCCTGAGGACAGGGACAAGGGCTTACTCTTTTCGGTGTCTCAATCAAGCTTAGCATTGTTCCAACACAAAATTGTTTGACAAAGAACTATTAATTGATTCATTGTAAAAATCAGTGAACTATCAAACTTAATATGGCAATTCGCTTAATATGGTAATTAACTTAATGCTAATACTATTCCAGTCAGCATCTTTTCCTGTCCCACAACGACATCTATAAAAATTGAGTTGATCTGCTTCCATCTAGTGGCAATTAAAATATGTGGTTCCTGTGGCCAGAAAACAGCTCTGGGTATCCTGTGCCACTAAAGACTTTCACTCAGCGGGTGTGAGCATGAAAGAAGTCTTCACATTTTGTGGGTTTCCTGCCATAGAGACAGGGAGGCCAGCCCAAAGAAGGGACTCCTTCTCCCTAGGATCCCATCTACACTATTAAAGAGAAGATAGGGTAATAAAATAGAATTAAAAAAACCTCCACAGACCCTATATCCCCATCCAGTGACCCCCCCATCTCTCTCCTCTCCTTCATAGACATACTTTTAAAAAGAGATGACCACACATTCTGCCTCTACTTTCTCATCCTAAATGATTCCCCAACCCATGGCCATCTGACTTCTGTCTTGAACTCTATGCTGATAATGGCCTCTCCAAGGACACCTTTGTTACATCCAATGGAAACTTCTGGTTCTCCGGGCAGCATCTGAAACTGCCTCCATTTTCTTCATCCGTAGTATTCATGAGTGCATGCTCTCTCTACCTCCTACTACCTCTCTGCCTGCCTCTTCCCGTTCTCCTTTTTCTTAGCTGACTTAGACATTGATGTTCTTCCAGTTTCTCCCCTCTCTACCAGGTTCTCTTCCATTCTCACACCTACACTCTCCCTGGGTGATCGTGACCACTCCTGAGATGGCAATTACCTCCTGACAGGGAGAACCCCCAAATCCACTTCTCCTACCCCAAGGTAGCCCCTGTGCTGCGTATAGGCCCAATGGACTACAACACCTAAATCTCAACGTGTACAAAACTGAACCCAGGATATTTCCCTCCAAACTTCTCATTCTTTCATGTTCTCTTCTCAGAAATAAATAGTACCACCATCCACCAGGTCCCAGATCAGAAACTTGGCAACTTCTTTGATTCTTCTCTCTCTGTCTCTTAGCAAATTAACAACCACATTCAATTGATTCTACCTCGTCTTATCTCATGAACCCATCCTCACTGCTATTTCTCTAGACAGGCACCATCAGCTTTCACTTGATAACTTCAAATGCCTCCAAAACAGATCTCTATGCCTGCAGGCTCACCCACCTCCCATATTTGCCATAATACTGTGCACATTGATCCTCAGAAGATGTCTAGTGCAAGATGACATTCACCACTTAAACCCTCTTGGTGATATCCCAAAGACCTCAAGATAAAGCTCATACTTGTTATTATTGCTTATATATTAGTTTATGATCTAGCCTTTGGTGCCTCATCTCCCCCCAGTTCCTCTGTTGCACTCTAAGCTACAACCCACTGAACTACTAAGGACTTCTCAGGAACAATTTGTGGTTGGCAGGATGGTTGTCCAGACAAACACTCTACCCATTCTGGAACCATCTGGCTCCATTTCCAACATGTTAAAAGGAGCTCAGTTGTCTAGCTGGGTACCCATATGTTACCAAAGTCTTATCACAGTTGCTCTTTTTACTTACACTCTCCTTCCTAAAATTTTAAAGCAAGTCACTAAACTCCTGAAACTGAAAAATATTCTGCCACCTTCATTTCTGCCAGATGGGCCATGCACTGTCACATGTTTGCATCCCTTCTCAGTATGCTATTTTTACAATGAAGAAATGTGAGCTCCAGAAACCAAACTAAAAACTAATTGCCTCTTTGGGGAAGCCGTAGGTACAATTCATGTTCCCCACCTTTTCCACATTTCTGAAGGTCAGTGCTTACCAGAGAGTAGTCATTTACCATTTTGTGTCGGTCATTGAGGACCTGAGTCTGGTGATGTACCTTCTTCTTAGGGCCTGGGGTACACTAGTTTCTCAATAAATGCTTTTTCAATCGAATGTTTCCTGAATACTGTATTTAGAGCCTCATGTTCAGCCAGGGCAAGAAGTAACATACCACAATGCTTCCAACCCTCAAGGAAAATTTAGGGACAATCAGAAAAAGCTCTCTTTACATAAACTTCCCTTCCCTAATAGGGCACTTCTTGTTAATTCCTTCATTCAGCTCCACTAGCACCCCCCAAAAACACAGCTTTTAAGGGAAGCCAGTAGATTTATCCTTTTATCTGGAAATTTCACTTAGATGAGTACCCCATGTAAATAACTACTATGGGGTGAATGTGTCTAGCTGTAATAGGCAATATCTTGAGTATTTTAAGTAAAAAAGAGATCAACAGATGTGGAAACTCTAGCTAATAAAACTTACCTTTTCTGAGATTTCTTGCCTAAAAATAAAAGAAAAAAGAGAAATGGCATCAGCAAAAAGTAGACAACTTCAGTTTTTTAAAGTAAGGGAGAAAGGAGATTTCCACCTCAAAACTGTCTTTTGAAGTATACTATGCATTTGTTGGTTGGACCCCATCTGTGCCCAGTGGGATTTGAGGTACTGGCTTAGGGTTCCAATTCAAACAGTGGTAGATACTCAAACAGAACCGACATGTTGATGCAGATGCCTCTCAGGGTTCTGTTCCATCCTTTGTGCTGCTAGTAAAGACAGGCTGAATTACCTGGTGGTCAGATCCAATATGCCCACTCACATGTTTATCCTTTCTTGACCTGCCATCTCATCCTACCTGCAGATTTTTCCCTAAGGGACCCAGCTGCTGATACTGCAAGAATATGTGTCATGACATCTCACAACATCTTCTCTGCAAATCCACAAGAGAATTTTACTCTAAGCTCATTGGTAGGAACTGCCCAGCCTTATCTGAGTAACTGATATATTTTTACCTTATAAAAACAGTGAATATGACAACTGGTCATGCTTCCTTCTTTGATTGGCTACAAGGAAACTCAGAGCCAGATCTGAGACCCTCTTTTATCAAGTGTAGACTTTGTGACACACATTTCTGTGTCCTAACTTCAACCTTGGTTCTAACTTATTTTTGTACACTAAATTTTGGCTTTCTTTGACATTTTTATTAATTTTAATTTGCTGTGTTGAATGCTGAATGCATTTTGTAAACTATCTTGCATTCTTTTTGAAAAAAGCAGAATATAAATAAGTAGATAAATGAACTGCAAAGTTGGAGTCTAGAAGAAATAAAAGCCAAAAAAAAAAAAAAAAAAATCTTTCAGGAAGAAGAATCATTTGAGAGGCAATATATTTCAGTAGCTGTAAGTTGTTGGAGCTCTAAAATCATCTGACCCAGGTGCAAGCCCTATTTTGCCACCTGTAGTGGTGTGTAGTGTGTCTTTGAACAGCTACTCATCCTCTCTGAGCCACGGTTTCATTATCTGTAAAAGGGGCATAGTAGTTGGGTCTTTCTCACTGAGTCAATAGAAAATGTATTGAATATGTTTAGGCCAGGTCCTAGCACTTACACAGGGCTCAATTACTATTTTAATCCATCAAAGTGTCAGAAATGGCTATTTTAACTCTTTTCTTCCAAATTCAGCCTGCTGATGATATGGACCAAATTAAGTCTGAATTAATTTCAGGTTCCATTGTTTATCTTTATGTAAATATATTTTTTTCTTTTAGGACAAATGAAACTAATCCATCAAAGTGTCAGAAATGGCTATTTTAACTCTTTTCTTCCAAATTCAGCCTGCTGATAATATGGACCAAATTAAGTCTGAATTAATTTCAGGTTCCATTGTTTATCTTTATGTAAATATATTTTTTTCTTTTAGGACAAATGAAACAAATAGCAAGAGATAAGCAAGAATCTTTTCCTACTGAGAGGGTTTCTTTTTGAAGAAAAGGGAACTAGGTGGGCATGTGTTCAGTTTCATGCTCTGTTCTTACCCTGTGTGTTGGTTCAGGTGTAAAATTCTTCCAACCGAGGAAAAAAAAACAGAGTCTTATGAATCTGAATACCAGGGGTTTTAGGGGACATATCTGGATGGGAGTCTGATCTCTGACTATGGCCCCTGCTGATAGGAGATTTTAGAGATTTGGCATAAAACAACATTACCAAATAGGGCCAATTGTAGTGACTAATCAAAAAGTGATGACAATAGGAACACTCTTTCTGGGGTGGGTTAGAAAACTAATCTAGCACCTTCTATTCTAAAATTTGGAAGAGAGATCAGATGCACAGGCGAATGTGTTTCCGGAGCCCTCTCTTATTCCCTTCCCAAAAGAAAGGTGCTAAAGTTGGATTCCAGGACTAACAGGGCAGGGGCCAAGTGCCAGGTTCAGAAGATCCATTGAGGTCAGAAGAACGGGGTCAAGATTCTGGTCACCTCTTTGGCTATCATGCTCTAAATATTCACCCTGTTCCCCTTTTCCAGCTTTCTGAACCCCCAAAGCCTATAAAATTCTCAGAATAGATGAATATTGTATATACACACATTTATTTCTCACTTTTATCCTTGTAAATGCATCAGCTACATTTTGAGTTAGAAAAGCTCTCCCTGTGTGTTGGTTCAGGTGTAAAATTCTTCCAACCGAGGAAAAAAAAACAGAGTCTTATGAATCTGAATACCAGGGGTTTTAGGGGACATATCTGGATGGGAGTCTGATCTCTGACTATGGCCCCTGCTGATAGGAGATTTTAGAGATTTGGCATAAAACAACATTACCAAATAGGGCCAATTGTAGTGACTAATCAAAAAGTGATGACAATAGGAACACTCTTTCTGGGGTGGGTTAGAAAACTAATATAGCACCTTCTATTCTAAAATTTGGAAGAGAGATCAGATGCACAGGCGAATGTGTTTCCGGAGCCCTCTCTTATTCCCTTCCCAAAAGAAAGGAGCTAAAGTTGGATTCCAGGACTAACAGGGCAGGGGCCAAGTGCCAGGTTCAGATGATCCATTGAGGTCAGAAGAACAGGGTCAAGATTCTGGTCACCTCTTTGGCTATCATGCTCTAAATATTCACCCTGTTCCTTTTTTCCAGCTTTCTGAACCCCCAAAGCCTATAAAATTCTCAGAATAGATGAATATTGTATATACACACATTTATTTCTAACTTTTATCCTTGTAAATGCATCAGCTACATTTTGAGTTAGAAAAGCTCTGGGGGTCTACCCTGGAACCTAGTAATCATTTCTAACATTGTCTCTGTAGGAAAAATATTCTTAGTGTTTTAAAGAACCAATTTACAACTAAAACTTTTAGAAGACAAAGTCATTCATAAATTGGAGATACTAGTAGCTGTTTGACAAACAAAGACGATTTAAGTGCTACATTAAAGATTCCCTGGCCTTCCTACAAAGTCAGTGATCTTTTGGAGCTTCTGTTCTCTTGTTGGCATAACTGTAACTAGCCTAACTGCCCGTTATCTGTTTCCTGTTTGCCCCACAATGATTTCCACAGCAAGGGCATGCAGTTTTCAAGTTATCGGTTTGAGATCTTGTACAGAAATGACTCCAAAGTAAAAAATTTAAAAACAACCTCACTGCTTTTCTCACCCCTGCCTATAAAACAGCCTTAGCCAGCTAACCCCTCACTAAGTACAGATGACTTTTATTCTATACTTTTGATTCTACAAATACCTATTAAAAGATTTTGTTCAGGGGCCAAACAGGTATGTGACTCTTGAAGAGGTCAGGTGTTTGGGAGCAGTGCCTTGAAAATCTTAGTAAGCATTCCTAGTGGAATTGTAGCACTGAAATCAAAGGCATGTAGGCTCTCAGTGGACAGAGATTATGCATGTTTTTTTTCATAATTAAATAACAGCAAGAAAACATTAGAATATCTCATTTAGCTGTTATCACCCTAGCAAGGTGCCTTAAAAATAATAGGCATTTTTTAAAAGTTTGTTGGATAAAAAGTAAAAATTGGCAGCTTGTTTTAAAGAAGGTATGTACTGGGCTGATTTATAAGTCTCCAAGGACTGATGTCTACAGAACAGAAAGCTTGGCATCCTGCTCCAGTTGAATCTATTGCACATAATTTCTTGTGGGTTTCTTTCTTTCTTTTCATTTTAAAGTTGTATCATTTTCATATAAAATTAATCCTTTCTTTCTTTCTTTCTTTCTTTCTTTCTTTCTTTCTTTCTTTCTTTCTTTCTTTTCACTTTAAAGTTGTATCATTTTCATATAAAATTAATCTCACATACCTTTTCTTAATCGCCTTGCCAGCCAAATGATAAATGCCAACCCAGAGAATGCAGTAACCACGACTGCCACTGGAATAAAAAGGGGGTTGTAGCCATACTCCTTGACCCCTGAGACTTGTCTGTCAAATTCTGAAAGAGAAATCAGTAAAGCACATAGCATAAGACCACAAGCATTACTTCCTTAGTCCATCTCAGATATCTGACTTCCTCCTTACATCTCCCAATAATAGCCCATTGATGCAATTTGACAGATGAGGAAAGTGGCATGGGAAGGCCCATGATGAGTCTACGGCAGAGGCAGAGACTGGGTCAGCCTGATGCCTACAGAACCTCAATTCGTGGAACTCCTGGGTATGTACCTAAAAATCTTGGCAAGAAGTGGTCATCGTTGTGTTTAGCTCCATGGCCTTGCTCAATGGTTGTAACTCTGAAATACAGAGAAGAGCTGAAAAGCCTTATACAACTTCAGAAAAAATAAAAGCCAGTGAGCTGAACTGGGTAACTTTTCAGTCAGAGGAAGCTATTAATGCTTTTACTTTAAATCAGCCATGCAAAAATAAGCACTTGTTTATATGCCAAGGACCTGCACTAATCTTTCAAGTGATGTAGTCCTACCACTTCCCTCCACTTCCTTCACAAATAAAAGACCATATCTATATATATCCTCTTGTAAGTGTAACATAAGTTCATTTAGGGGCCTTTATTGAAAAAAAATACCAATATGAAAAAAATCTGTCTTCTGACATCACCAGTTGAGGAACCTACTTTTACATATTGATGCAGGGTCTGCCTGCCTCCCTATTCTTCATGTTGGTTACTTTGATGAAACCTTTCAAGGTGCTTCCATTCCCACACCAAATATAAAATAGATGAGAGGCTCAAGTTCCCAGAGGCTCCAAACAGAGGGTAACTATTGGCTTGATGACGCTGAGGAAAGGGACAATAGCCAGGCCTTAAATGGAAATGTCCCTGATAAGCCTGATACACAGTCTTCCTCTAAAGGCCTTCTTGCCCCTCTCTCTGCTCCTCCACTCCAGGCCCTGACCCTGAGCACAAAGAGATCAGCTTCTCTGACAGTCTCTACAGATTCTATTATTTTAAGACTTTTGTCATCAGTGCAGGTGGTCTCAAGGGCAGACATGGATAGCTACTCTTCCATATGCTAACTTTAATGTGCTTTTATTTTAGCACTATTGCCAGGCACTGTGTCTCCTAGGTGGTATACAAAGATGAGGAAGACAGTTTTTCTCATGCAAAGACTGATTTGGGAAGAATCAGCTTAGTGATAATTAGTAGTGGCATTTCAAAGGACTAACAGAGAAGTCAAATTGTAGTGGAATAGAAGAACAAATAAGAAATAAATCAGTAGAGACAGTAGGTTTAGAATTTAAGAGTTAATAGCAATCACAATTCCTTGAATTTAAGACAAGCAAACAGATATGATGTTGATGTGGGGGAGAGAGGGGGGAAGGAGGAATTGGAAAAGAGACACAAAAATCAACTACATTGTATATTGATAAAGTAAAATAAAATTTAAAAAACTGGGAGATACATTTTTTAAAAAGAACTTGAGTTAAGAATGAAAAAAAGAAATGGCTTCTGTTAAAGGAGGAGGCAAAAACATCCAAGAATTTTATAGTAAGTTAATGCATATACATTTATTTTTAGACCACATATATTTAGTAAAACACAATTTAAAAGTTTAGTATATCTTTCCTCACCATCTACTCATCCATCAGCTCCACCGTTAAGTCTCAGTATACTGGGGCAAACTTACTTTTACATATTGGACTAGGACTGGACCAGATTCCAGATGATCCACAAATAGTTTTCTTCTCCCCTATTAACTCAGTTCCTTCTGAGCAATTGAAGGTACATGCAGTGGTAAAGCTGAAGTTAGCCAGGGGGTGACTACAGTCCATGGTCCCCAAATCAGGTTCTGTTAGAGGCTCACATTGAATCACTTCAATGGAAAAAACAAAACAAAACAAAACAGTATTTCTGAGCAGAGATCCTTCCTTGGCCAAAAGGCCTGACTCAACTGTGGAATTATTCACATGAATCTAGGAATTTCTATGTTCTCGAAATTAGTTCTGATAATGCTTCCAGACTTTATTTTCCTGAGAATGATGGTGTGGAGAGTTGGGGATGAAGCCAAGAGAGTACTGAAAGCCCGGGGGTGAGGGGTGAATCGCCAGCTCCCCTGCTCTGTCATGCCCCATGGCTCTGCCTCAAGAGCTCTTATGGAACCTTCTCACTGAGCACAGAGAATGTCCATCTTCTCACCTGTTCTGAAGTCTACCCAAGTAGTTTTGAAAAAATCTCAATTCTCTGAAGCAAGTTGAACTTCTGTAAAATTCAGCAAATAGGTTGGTTTTGTTCTATGATTTCAGTGAAGGATTTTGTTAGTTCTTTTGAGAATTAAACTACTTAAACTAGTGAGTCAGGAGTATGAATGTGGAAAATGTAACTAGAATCTTACAGGTTAAAACACAACCAGTTTTCTCCCATACTCCCATATGGGGATAATCTTCGCAATTCAAAAGGAAAAAAAAAAAAAAATACCATATTTCAAATGAAAAAAAAAAAAAAAAAACGAGAGATTGTGTTTTTGTTTTTCACAGCAGTTGTTATTCTTCTGAGATTTCATGCAGAAGGAAAAGTAAAAGATGATTTTTAAGAAAAAACCAAATAAAACAATCAAAAAAGACCTCTGCATGCCGGAGAAGGAAATTGGTTGGTGTTAAATAGGACACCACATAAAATAGGTGTTACTGAAAGAAGAGGAACCAAAATGTAACTGAGGTTGAGCAAGACTGTTTATTTATGCCGTGACAATGAGAAAAATAAAAAATATGGTATAACCACATTGTATTGCTGTAAATCATGTTACACACTGTGAGATGGCTTCAGAGGCATTTGGTTATTATTTTTTGTTTAGGGGTTTTTCTTTTTAATTTTAGTAAGAATAACCACTTTGAAAAGCATCACAGTATAATCTAAATTAGGTTAAATTATGCTCCAAAAGAGGACATAGACTTCTTAGTGAGACTCTACTGCACTTTCTAACTGTAAACTCAGGACTGCCACAACAAAGCCTCCAGTCTGGTTACTCACCTTGACATGTTGGTTCTGGAGATGACCAGTTTCCAAATGGTCCGCAAGTGGTTTCTTCAATCCCGGTTAAGTTTGTTCCCACAGAGCAGATGAAGGCACACTGCGAGCTATATATCCTCTTGTAAGTGTAACATAAGTTCATTTAGGGGCCTTTATTTAAAGCTCTCCCACTTGATAACCATGTGCCTTTCAGCAAGGTTACTTAAACCCTCCAGCTTCAGTTTGTTCATCTCGAAAAGAAGAATAATGATAATTGTGTTAAGCTCATAGAATTGATGTGGGCACTAAATGCAATTTAATTAATGTAAGTCAAGGACTTAGAACAGAGCCTGGCTCATAAGAAGATCGAATTAAAAATTAGCTGGCCTCCATATATTACCTTTGACATTATCTAGAGAGAGATGTTTTTAAACCCAGGTATGTGTAAGTGGGAATGACCAGCTCAGTTGAGAAATAACTATGACATTGGAGCTCCTGAGTATGCTAGAGTATTGGCAGTAAGAGATTCAGAGAAAGAGTGGGTCTGCATAATCAGTCTTCTTTACAAGAGGAGAAGATAAAAGTTTAGAAAACATCTTAGCATCAATTCTGCCTTCAACTCTCTAGCTCAGATCCAAAACTTCAGCTCTTCTGATTTTGACAACCCTCTCCAGAAACTGTATCTATTTCCCTCCTCTGGCTGATGGTACAATACATCAAATTAAGACTTGAAAATCAAAGTCTTCACATTTCAGGTCCTGCCACTCAGTTTGGGCAAGTATTGCAATCATGTCTTATTTCTTACATGTCAAATTTGAGCCATCATTGTAACCTTACTCTTGAGGTTTCAATGAAGAATGGACTCATGGAATTAGAAGAATTTTTATATTTTCCATATACAGTACAAGTGCAAGTTAAAGTAAATTAAATTGTCCAATTCAATTCAGACCCACAAGCAAGTGCCTGATATGTTCCAGGCATAGTGTGAATCCCACAGATTCAATGATAAATAGGACATTTATTGATCTTAAGACACTTTTAGAACTAGAGTAGATGGACAAGTAAACAAATGACTTCAACAAATGTGGGAAAAATGAGAAAGAAATATATAGAGCTATTGGAACATAGAATATGGACACTTAGCTCCTCTTGGGGTCCAAAGAAATCTTCCTGGGAGAAATGGTCCCTGGACTACATCTTAAAGATGAACAGGTGTGTTGGCCATGAGCAAAATCAATGAGTTACAAAGCACGTATGGTTAGNCTTAGTGAGACTCTACTGCACTTTCTAACTGTAAACTCAGGACTGCCACAACAAAGCCTCCAGTCTGGTTACTCACCTTGACATGTTGGTTCTGGAGATGACCAGTTTCCAAATGGTCCGCAAGTGGTTTCTTCAATCCCGGTTAAGTTTGTTCCCACAGAGCAGATGAAGGCACACTGCGAGCTGAAGCTGAAGTGTCCCAAAGGGTGAGCACAGGTCATGGTACCCAGCTCTGGGGCCTCCAAAGGCTCACACTGAGTTACTGTAAAAAGAAAAGAAACAGTATTCGAAAGTGTTAAGAGTACCTGATGCCTGCATTTGAATCTTTGCTCTCCCACTTGATAACCATGTGCCTTTCAGCAAGGTTACTTAAACCCTCCAGCTTCAGTTTGTTCATCTCGAAAAGAAGAATAATGATAATTGTGTTAAGCTCATAGAATTGATGTGGGCACTAAATGCAATTTAATTAATGTAAGTCAAGGACTTAGAACAGAGCCTGGCTCATAAGAAGATCGAATTAAAAATTAGCTGGCTTCCATATATTACCTTTGACATTATCTAGAGAGAGATGTTTTTAAACCCAGGTATGTGTAAGTGGGAATGACCAGCTCAGTTGAGAAATAACTATGACATTGGAGCTCCTGAGTATGCTAGAGTATTGGCAGTAAGAGATTCAGAGAAAGAGTGGGTCTGCATAATCAGTCTTCTTTACAAGAGGAGAAGATAAAAGTTTAGAAAACATCTTAGCATCAATTCTGCCTTCAACTCTCTAGCTCAGATCCAAAACTTCAGCTCTTCTGATTTTGACAACCCTCTCCAGAAACTGTATCTATTTCCCTCCTCTGGCTGATGGTACAATACATCAAATTAAGACTTGAAAATCAAAGTCTTCACATTTCAGGTCCTGCCACTCAGTTTGGGCAAGTATTGCAATCATGTCTTATTTCTTACATGTCAAATTTGAGCCATCATTGTAACCTTACTCTTGAGGTTTCAATGAAGAATGGACTCATGGAATTAGAAGAATTTTTATATTTTCCATATACAGTACAAGTGCAAGTTAAAGTAAATTAAATTGTCCAATTCAATTCAGACCCACAAGCAAGTGCCTGATATGTTCCAGGCATAGTGTGAATCCCACAGATTCAATGATAAATAGGACATTTATTGATCTTAAGACACTTTTAGAACTAGAGTAGATGGACAAGTAAACAAATGACTTCAACAAATGTGGGAAAAATGAGAAAGAAATATATAGAGCTATTGGAACATAGAATATGGACACTTAACTCCTCTTGGGGTCCAAAGAAATCTTCCTGGGAGAAATGGTCCCTGGACTACATCTTAAAGATGAACAGGTGTGTTGGCCATGAGCAAAATCAATGAGTTACAAAGCACGTATGGTAAGTGTAGAGAACTACCATATTTTGATGTTACTAGAAGGAAAAGAGGAGGCAGGGAACAATGTAAAATGAGATGAGGTAGGAAGATAGAAGCGAAGACAAGATGTTGTTATCTTGTTTTCACTGACTTAATGGGTACCTGCTATATATCAAGCATTGCTCTGGGCCTTGAGGAGCTTAGATTTCATCCTGTAAGACAAATAATAGGTAGAAATTGAAGGGTGAATGGTTGCGGGTGTGATGTGTTTTTAATTGATCAGCCTGCCTATAGTTGGAATAATATACTTGAAAAGAGCCAATTTCAAGTTGTAGAACTTAGCTAGGAGACTATTTCAATAATCTAGGAGAAAGCTAATGAGGGCAATGGTAGTAGAGTTGACAAGGAGACAAATTAGAAAAATAACGTTATAAAAATTGGTAGTATGTTATTTTGCATAAATGTTGCACAAGGTAAGAAAGTCTCATACTAAAGTGCCCATGTACATTGTGGTGCCATATATTGAGATAAGGAATACAAAAAGGAAAGCTTGGGGCCGGCCCGGTGGCGCACTGGATAGTGCGCTGCTTGGGAAGCGCAGCAGCGCTCCCGNAATGTGGGAAAAATGAGAAAGAAATATATAGAGCTATTGGAACATAGAATATGGACACTTAGCTCCTCTTGGGGTCCAAAGAAATCTTCCTGGAAGAAATGGTCCCTGGACTAGATCTTAAAGATGAATAGGTGTGTTGGCCATGAGCAAAATCAATGAGTTACAAAGCACGTATGGTAAGTGTAGAGAACTACCATATTTTGATGTTACTAGAAGGAAAAGAGGAGGCAGGGAACAATGTAAAATGAGATGAGGTAGGAAGATAGAAGCTAAGACAAAATGTTGTTATCTTGTTTTCACTGACTTAATGGGTACCTGCTATATATCAAGCATTGCTCTGGACCTTGAGGAGCTTAGGTTTCATCCTGTAAGACAAATAATAGGTAGAAATTGAAGGGTGAATGGTTGCAGGTGTGATGTGTTTTTAATTGATCAGCCTGCCTATAGTTGGAATAATATACTTGAAAAGAGCCAATTTCAAGTTGTAGAACTTAGCTAGGAGACTATTCCAATAATCCAGGAGAAAGCTAATGAGGGCAATGGTAGTAGAGTTGACAAGGAGACAAATTAGAAAAATAACATTATAAAAATTTGTAGTATGTTATTTTGCATAAATGTTGCACAAGGTAAGAAAGTCTCATACTAAAGTGCCCATGTACATTGTGGTGCCATATATTGAGATAAGGAATACAAAAAGGAAAGCTTCCTGGGCTTATTGATTTTACAGTCTTTTGGGCATCTCAAAAGCTTAGCACATTTGGATTTCAGGGCTGGAGACAGATTTGTCGGTCCAAAGACCACATAGATTTATTAATCTACAGAAGTTAGTAAATTTAACCAAAGGGAACATGTAGAGACAGGAGAGCAATAGGAAAAGAACAGAAGCTGAGAAATAATAATAGTTTATGAGCTTGGATAAGTGCCCATGAAGGAACCCAGGAGAAATGATCACAAAAAGAAAAGAGCCAGACATGATGGAAACCAAGACAGAAAAAAGAGTAAAATGTTCAAATAGGAGTAAAATGGGCACACTGATGATATAAGGATTAAAAAATAAAATTTTAGAATGGAGTAAGGATAAAGTATTCTTCATTCTTTACAGTCTTTGCTCTTGCTCTTTTATTTTAACCTTATGGTTTTCTATTTTATGCACCAGATACTTCAAACATAATTCTGAAACTTGCACAACATCAATCAAAGGATTTAATGTTCTCTCAGTAGTGAGTTGAGTGTGTCAGACTCTTTGATTTTGAATCTGTGTATTCTCTCCTTTCCAACTTTACCACTGTGACTTTGAATAATTTGAATAGACCCCTAATGATTGTCTCCATCTTCTTGCTTTTTGCTCTCCAATCCATCTCATGCACTGCTTCTAGAATAATTACCCTAAATGCAGATGTTAAGACACTGAGTGGCCTCCCATTGCCAAGCAAAGGGCAAATTCCGTCACTGGGCAGTCTCCAGTCTCTACAAACTTACTCTAGCTTATCTTGCTTTCCTTCAGACTCAATTATGAGTATATGTAATTTCCACTAATTAACCATAAATCATTTAAGGGCAGAATCTATAACAGATTTGCCTTTGTATTCCTCCGAAATACCCAATCCAAATAAATGTGCTGAATTTATGATTATATGTCTCTGACATATACTGTGTATCATTATGCGAACCTTCCTCTTTGGCCTCACCCAGTTATGACTTTGAAGATTATATTTAAAAACCAGATTACATTCTGAGTAACTCACCCCCCTAATGACAAATGATTTCATTTCTTTCAAACTATAGAGTTCTAATTAATCCAACAAGCTCATTAAATTGTGAGTGCCTTGAAAGCAGGAATCTACTATGCCTGACTCCTTACTGTAACACTTACAGCTTTTTTCTCTCAACACTGTTTTCTTTGTGGTACTCAGAAAAACTTGCTGAGAAGTGAATTGAAACTTCATGCTGACTTATGAAATCTTTACAGAAAGGTAACAGCATTGTGAAACCATAGCTTTCTGATCAAAACTTCCCATTTCTCAGAATGGCAACTATCATTTTGTCCCAACTAACTTCCATCATAAACTACGATGATTCCTGTAGCTTTACATAAGAAGAAACAAAGAAAGGAAAGGCTTACCAAACTGACACTGGGGCCCATAGTACCCCACATCACAGTTGCAGGTGTAATTATTGATGATTTCCACACATTCTCCATGGCTGCTGCATGACCAGGGCTGGCAAGAAGCTTTAAGGAGATCAGAAAAAAATATATTTAATGTGATTACATTTTAGTATTCATAGTCATTTCTTTAGACACAGATAGCTTTTTGTCTGAGACTATTTTAACAAAGAGGAAGGGTTTATTTATACATTCACAGAATTTTTTGCTAAAATTTTTATTTATTAAATATACTATCCATATAGCCATAGGCATTTATTTGCTTTTAGAATGAGTTTACCAATACTAATACTCTATAATATTTTGGGGAAACTTAGTGGCATACATTGAAACTCTCGAAATTACTTGTTTTAATGTAATAAGCAGGTTAAATGATGACTTGACCTCAATCATTTCTGTAGTCTGCTTGCCAGTCTCTTTCTTTATAGAAAATACTAAGATTAAAAAGGACGTCAAACTTTCAGAAGGAGAGGACAAACCTAAAGATACTGTAGATGGGGAGGAGGGAGGGAGAGAGGAGTTTGGGAAAGGAGAAAGGAGTTTGGGAAGTGACAGGTTGGGTAATGGGCATAAAGAAATATCACGTTTTGTAAGAATAAATATGCTAATAATAAATAAAAAAAAATTTTAAGTTCAAACTTGCTAAATTAGTAGAGATTCCAATTTACAAGAGGCCACATTAACTATGTTTTACTTTTAAAATATGACTTGGAAAAATCCTGACTGTTTTGGAATTGTTGCAATAGTTTTTACAGAATATTTCATTCATCAAAGCTAGTGCAATGTTTTATGACGCAGAATAACATATGATTAGGCTAAGAAGGAGCACAAGCCCCCCACCTTACAATGAGGAAACTGAGGCAAGGGTGAGCCTATGCTCTCGACTGGCCCCGGTGCTTGACTGCACTCCCCTGACTTATTATTAGGGGGACTGATTGTCTAGTCCTTCCTCCTTACTTTACACATATACTTTTCTTGATGTAACTTGACTTAGGGGTTTAGTCTT